GATTTTCCAGCCCAGGCAAGCTAAAAAAACCCCTTTCTTATAATGGTAGCTCTTGGGGCCATTGAGCAGGCCTCCCTTCTCCCTCTGCCCAAGCCCCGCCTGCCCCCTTGATACAAGTTAGTCCGTGGCTTTGAGGCCTTCTTACCTCCGAGGAAGAAGCCCCAGCAGCAACAGATTTTCCAGCCCAGGCAAGCTAAAAAAACCCCTTTCTTATAATGGTAGCTCTTGGGGCCATTGAGCAGGCCTCCCTTCTCCCTCTGCCCAAGCCCCGCCCGCCCCCTTGATACAAGTTAGTCCGTGGCTTTGAGGCCTTCTTACCTCCGAGGAAGAAGCCCCAGCAGCAACAGATTTTCCAGCCCAGGCAAGCTAAAAAAACCCCTTTCTTATAATGGTAGCTCTTGGGGCCATTGAGCAGGCCTCCCTTCTCCCTCTGCCCAAGCCCCGCCCGCCCCCTTGATACAAGTTAGTCCGTGGCTTTGAGGCCTTCTTACCTCCGAGGAAGAAGCCCCAGCAGCAACAGATTTTCCAGCCCAGGCAAGCTAAAAAAACCCCTTTCTTATAATGGTAGCTCTTGGGGCCATTGAGCAGGCCTCCCTTCTCCCTCTGCCCAAGCCCCGCCCGCCCCCTTGATACAAGTTAGTCCGTGGCTTTGAGGCCTTCTTACCTCCGAGGAAGAAGCCCCAGCAGCAACAGATTTTCCAGCCCAGGCAAGCTAAAAAAACCCCTTTCTTATAATGGTAGCTCTTGGGGCCATTGAGCAGGCCTCCCTTCTCCCTCTGCCCAAGCCCCGCCCGCCCCCTTGATACAAGTTAGTCCGTGGCTTTGAGGCCTTCTTACCTCCGAGGAAGAAGCCCCAGCAGCAACAGATTTTCCAGCCCAGGCAAGCTAAAACAAACCCTTTCTTATAATGGTAGCTCTTGGGGCCATTGAGCAGGCCTCCCTTCTCCCTCTGCCCAAGCCCCGCCCGCCCCCTTGATACAAGTTAGTCCGTGGCTTTGAGGCCTTCTTACCTCCGAGGAAGAAGCCCCAGCAGCAACAGATTTTCCAGCCCAGGCAAGCCCACTCCGCCCCTCCCTTTTTGTAATGGCTGCCCCTGTGTCCCCGCGGCCCAGCTGATGTAGCCTCAGGGACCAGCACCGGACCGCGGACCGGGGGTTGGGGAACTCTGTGCTAGATTAATGATGCTGTGCAATCCCCCCATCAGAAGTACCGATAATACATCATCCTTGTGGCGTTGACTGGCTAAGCCACTGTGATGCCACGGAATATTTACAAACACTGCTTCTGTCCACAAAGCAAAGTTGTCACACTGTTTCCCATCCAGTCTCCGAGAGGGTTTTTTGAGAATCCATGGGAAGGCCAAAGGAGAAGAAACTAAAGGAAGAAGTAGAAACTGAGACATCTTGCTGACTTGAACTAACCCCACTATTTATTAGACTGCAGATCTCTAATTACTAATATTGCATGGTTGACACTGGCATATTCCCATACCATTGAGGTCCAATTTCTCTAGTTCTGACTTGTCCTCAGTAGCCTCAGCAATAACCAAAGCTGCGTCTCGCTTGATCTCACAAAAAGACAAGTTGAGTTCCTGAAAGATAGGAAGTATGGTTAGATGGGAATACTCATCAAACAGCTTTTTTATACGGACCCCCTACAATTCAATTTTCTCCACTGCATCAACTGTTCAATAAATTAGATGCAATGCTTCCTTCCAATAATTGGGGGGGGGGAATCATTCTTATGTTGGCCAGTAAAAAAAGACATGTAGCTAGTTTACAACAGGAAGATATAGTAACAAGAGTAAGGCACACCTTTAGCTTATGAAGTCCTTCACTAACAGCTTCGGCAATAGCAACAGCACCCTTGGAACGCACCAGACAGTCACCAAAGTTTATTACTTCCACCTGTCGGAGCTTCTTCAGTGTCTAAGTAGGACAGAGAACACAGGAAATCAAAACAAAACAATTAACCCTGAAGACAGTGCCCAATCTCCTATATCTTGTAAGGACTTTCCAGTCTAAGTGATTATTAACACCAACAAGGAGATGATGACAGCTGAAAGGAACTCACTTCTGCCATGGCCACGGCCCCTTTCTCTGTAAAGGTGTTATCGTTCAAGTTGATCACCCTCAGCAAGGGATTGACAGCAAAGGCCTCAGCTAAGGCTGTGATTCCCGGATGGTTGATTCCATTCTGTGGCATATGGACTTCTTCTAAGGTGCCAATAACCTGAGGAACAAAATAGCAAAAAAGTCCTTACACAAACAGTGCTAATATTAAAGAGTTAATCCTGTGAATAGTGGTGTATCAGGTATTTTTGTCTCTACCAGCTATAGTTTTCCCTGGATATCCTCTATCTTAATGTTTTATACCTCACAAAATATTCAAAGGAGACAAACTTTTCAGTATTGCATATAAACAATATGCACAATTCCAAAATGCTAGGACGTTGAAACAATTTTGTAACCTGAGGTTACCTTGAGATAGAAACCACACAGAACTAGATTTACAGACAGACCTCAACCCTGCACCAGAGACCCAGAAACGTGAATTCCAAAACTATTATTTAGGGGAGTATCATTATTAGGCTATCTGTAAAGTTCATTAAAAAGGTATAAGATCTGCATATCTCTTCATAAAGTGGAGAAAAAAGGAATGCTAATAGCTTTGAAGTCAAAGTCAATATGGTCAGGGGAAAATAAAATATGGAAGAGCCTAGTTGCAGATATTCAAATTACCCCATCAGTGCTGCAATGATTTTCATTCATTCATTCAATCAAACAGTATAAAATTATAATATGCAATAAATGCAATAAAACCTTTGTAACTAGCTAAATAAACTTGCATTTAAATAGAATTAAACACAGTTAAACAACTTTGAACATCTCAGGACAATAGTTAAAAGCTACAGTTTTCCAGGGAAAACTGTAGCTGGTAGGGACAAAAATGACTTTTATTTTATTTTCCTAACAACTGAGATGGCTGGCACCTGGAATTGCTGGGATGATGAACTTCAGAACAGCTACAGTATGTTGAATCAGCCTAAAGGTTTACCTTCACAGAGCAGCCAGCGAGTTGCCCATAGGGAGCCTGCCAGCAGGACTGGAGAGCAACTGCATCATCAGTCTCTCATCCCCCAGAAACTGACAGCCAGACACATATTACTTCTGATACTCAGTGTGACATAAATCTGACCTGGCTAGCAGCCACTGATGGATCTAACTTTGCTGAGTTTATTTAACCCTCTCTTCAGTCTATCCATACTGGCAGCTACCGCTGCAGTTCTGTGAAAAGAATGATCCCTCTTTTTTTAAACATCCCACTACTACTCTGGGGTAGGCAGTTGCTAAATTAACATTATCATCCTTTTTACCTCAACATTCCCACCTCCTGTCTTTTATAACATCTTGACGGGTAAAGTAATTGTGAATACTTGAGAGGGGGGAAAACCTTGATGAGATAGTGTTATAAAGTATGACTTAATATGGGTTTGGGAATTTTTCAGAAATATGATTTTTTACTCGCTATGAAAAGATTCTGGCCCAATTGTTTTATCTGCTGGACCCCACCTTAGTGGAAAGATGGCATGAAAATATCAGAAATAAATAAATAAAAACATTGTAGTCAAGGTCTGTTGTAGATGAGCCTACAAAGACCCCTTGCTATTTTTCTGTATAAGTTAAAACTCAACATAACAAAGGTGATTTTTGTAACAGGCTCAGAAAACAGGATTCTACTGAGGCACGCCACTTGAGTCAAACCTGCTCTAACTGTGATTAACATGCAGCTGGACCACATTACACAGGAACAGACCCTTCCTCTTGCAGTTCTGTCCAATGAGTGAGGCCTTGTCTTCTTTCTGTGCTTTCCCAATCACTGGAGCTTCTTATATCTCACAGTGAACCAGCACAGCAAGGGGAATCAGCTCTCAATCCAGGGAAAACAGGCTGCTGCTAAGCAGCAGCTATCATGTCATGCAATCGGTTTAGTTCAGCTGCAACAAAATTCCCTGACGTTCATGATGTTGTTCAATGTAAGGAAAAGTTAAGCCCACATATGAAATAAGTATAGGAATAGTAATGGCAGTATAATCCAGCTGGGATGAATAATGGTAGTCAGGAACATAAATGATCTTCACAATGGCTAAAGCTTTCTCTTCCTGTGCCGCAAATGTCAGTTTATATGTAAGCATTTTGCCTCAAGGCCTTTTTTTTTCCTACTTACTCTGAATGCCTCAGCAAGAGCAGTTGCACCGTCATTTTCCAGGCGGTTCCTGCCAGCCACAAACACTTTCAATGCCATAGGCTTTCCTTGAGAATTTGATTTCCTGTGACATTCTTTGAGAGCTCCTGCCAAGATCTTAAAAAGGGGAGGAAAAGAAACCGATAGCACAATAGATTGTTTACTCTGTATTATGTCACTTTGACTTGAGGGATTCCATCCCTCCAAAGTACAGTGGACCCTCGACTTACAGAATTAATCCATATTGGAACTGTGGCTGCAGGTCCAAAATTCCATAGGTCGAGGGTCCATTTCCCATCGGAATACACTGAAAACCATTTAACTCGTTCCAGGCAGAGAGAAAAAAATCCAGGGCTTCCAAAGCTGCACCCGCTGCCCTCTGTCTTTTGTCCCCACTGTCCTCTGCCTCCCATCCCTGCAGGGACAGGAGGCACCGGGGACAGGAGGCAAGAGGCCAGCGGGTGCACCTTTCTAAGTCCCGAAAGCCGGCAGCGGAGCGGCTTTCCGGCTTCCAAAGCTGCAAGCGGGGGGAGGCGGGGAAAGCTGAAAGCCGCCCTCCACCCGCTGTCAGATTTGGGCTTTCAGGGCTTAGAAAGCTGGACCCGCTGGCCTCTTGCCTCCTGTCCCTTGGGCACCGGGGACAGGAGGCAAGAGGGCAGTGGGTCCAGCTTTCAAAGCCCTGAAAGCCCAAAGGTGACAGCGGGCACAGGCCGCTGCTGCCAGAGGCCTCTCGAAAGTCCTGTCACCACTGTCACCAATCATGCCTCCAAAGCACAATCTGCGGCGGGGGGACCTCCAAGAAGTCTCCCTTGGCAGCAGAGAAGTGCTGGAAGGCATCTGGAGGCACGATCAGTGGCCTACGAACCGGAAAGGGAAGCGGGGAAAGCGCCAAATTTGAATTTGGCACTTTCCCTGCCTCCCCTTTCTGGTCCGTAGGTCGAAAAGTTTGTAAGTGGAGCCGCACATTCGGGCTATCATTTTCAAATTACAATGCTCTCTGCTAAAAACATTACATGTCACAAAAGGCTACTGTCGGCTGAGGATAATTTAGGTCAGTCAGCTGCAATGATTCTATTATTGTGTCTTCAACTCATATTTCCCTGTGTGATATCAGCACAAGAGATCTTCACCATCTCAACCAGTTAATGCTTTGGTCCTTGTCCTGCCCCTGGAATCATCTATAGCAGCCAGAAGAACTGGGCTGGTTTAGTTTCTAACAGACTTGTTTTTTGCTCTACAGAAGTTTGCTCTTGTTAACCTGTGGAAGCTTCATCAATGCAAGCTGAAACCATGACATGAAGGAAACAGGAAACCAACAACTCTGCTACTCATCTTTGTCAAGACCCAGCAAATGGCCCTTACCTTGCCACCACCAATGCCCATGCCACAGTTGTTCAGCTTGAGTTCCTGCAGAGTGAAACAGGCCGGGCTCTTAAGCAGTGCCTCAAATCCACGCACCCCATCTGGTCCAAAGGCATTGTCACTGAGATCCAACTCCACAAGCTGGCAGCCAGCAGTAACAAGGGCCTCTCCAAGAGAGATCTGCAAGACGACCAGAAAGTTAAAGTTAGACTATGTCAAACCCTGTTAGACATGAGAGATATCTAGCAATGCTCGGGGTTCGGAAACAGAATATTTCAAGAAACTCTAATCTTTCAAAGTGGAACCTGCAATACATTTTTTGCACCACATCCCTACTTTGTATGGCTTACTAGAGAGAATGGGTCCAGAGCTAAAGCATGTAGAAGAGCCAGGTAAGAAGGAAAAACAGCAAAGCCGTGCTTCTGGGTGTCCTTACATGGGAGTGAGGATGTGCTCACTAGACTGAAGGCATGCCTATGATTAGGTCAGATAACAACCACTTATTGCCTAGTCCTAAATGTCAGCATTTCTGTTGCCTCCTGGATTCCCCCACCTAGAGATGTGCTGGAGAACTGTACAGAGAGTGGCATCAGCAACCCATGATGCACACAGTGTGAGGACATGAGAGAAAGAGTGAGGGGAGAAACGGGGTAACACCATTGGTGTTTCCCTCTCTATCTCCTTCTCTCCTCCACCAAATTAAAAACAAAGCTCTCTCACACACATACCTTTCCATACAAGCCTGGATCAGAGAAAACTGACACCTGCACAGAACTGATGGTAACACACTTGTACAGTTATTCTTTACTTTTTTTCTTTAAATTTTTCAGCAGTTTCAGAAAAGGTGTGTGGATAACCTTTATCAGCACCATTCTTCTACACATCCATGGCGCCCACTGGTCACGTACATGATTCATTTTGTTTACTGTTCTGCCTCTGAAGTTCAGCACAGCAAGGAAGGCCACTTTGCAAACTATCCAGTGCCTCAGTTGCCACAGGGCAACAATTTATCTTTTGCTCTCTCTATAGCTAATCCATGGAAACCCATTGAAAATCTTGACATTATAAATTGCCTAGACTAGAGAGCATTATAAATTTACTTAATCTTTTCCATCACCTCCACATTTCGTTACTTCGGCTGTCCAAGAAGCAGAATAACTCCTCTGTTTCCCCCCTCCCAACACAAACAACTAATTTTCGAACTTATGAACATCAGAATCCACTTTGATCAGTCATTGACAGTCTCTACTGAGTAGCAGCTGATCTTTGGAGTCCTTGGGAACCATCTGACCAAAGAATCATTTAAATGATCATGTAACGAAGAACTCAACCTGAAACTTCAATATATACTTTATGTGTTCTCCTGCTGAGCTATCATCACTCATCCTAAACATCTTTTCTTGCTGATTGTTATTCATATCTTGCTTCCACCTAAACCTTCTGCACAAGAAATACTGGACTGCCACTGTTAATCATCAATCATTTCTGTGCTTTAGCCTCAAAAATATCACACTAAGCATCTGCATTAAGCCATAAGAAAACTAATAGCCAACTGTATTAACAGTTATGTTATGCCCTTACCAGAGCAGGAGGAATTTCAGATCTCAGTCTCCCAGTGAACATGTCACTCCAATGACATCGCTAGAATAAGAGATATATATTAGTACATTTGTTATAGATGTGCTTCAACACACTGGTCAATTTACTGCAAAATAACAATTATTTCTGAGATACAATGCAACTGTTACCTAGCACCTAATTCTATGGTACACAAAGAACTGAAACATTGAATAACATTACAACATTCTAAAAGAATGCAGAATTGCATTCAGAAGTTACTTTTGTTCAGATACTCAGTACAAATCACACTACAATAGGCCTGGATTGGGTGAGTCACCACCTCCCTAAATTCCATTCATTCAAATGGGCCTATTCTACCTGCAATTTACTACACTAAAGCAAATTACAACTAGAGTAGGGCCCATTTGAATCAAGGAAACTTACAGAGGACTTCACTTGCTAAATCTGTTGTAAATGATAAATCAGTAGCAAACGGTGATTCAGCTGGTTAACTATCGCTGTTTACTTGAGCAGTTGCCCCTGTCTTTGTGTTAATTCAAACAATACTGAAGAGTTATTGCCATAATTTAGAAAACCACACAATTCTGCACAGAGGTCACAACTTCTACCTGCTTTGAGAGGCAGTTTGCTACTGATTTATCATTTACAACAGAATGCAAGAAGCACCGATGCTACTTGGAATTCAGAGTGCTAAGATAGTTTCAGGTACTTCTGATGCTTGCCAATTTTACAGACATCTGGGTCTGTTTTACTTGCCAATTAAGCAGTCTGTGAATTTAAGGTGCATCTCCACCTCCATACTTTGTCTTACAAGAGTGATGAAAATAATTTGTCTTCTGTTCCAACCATCTTAATCCACTGGACTTCTCACCTTGAGCTGGGACTTCTTCTCCAGAGCCTTGGCAATGACCTTTGCTGCTTCTACACCCACAGTGTTGCCTTCCAGACGCAGAGCTTCTAAGCAATCAAACTCTTCAATCTCTTTAATTACTTCTTCAGCTGCACAGAGAAGCACAATTTCACTTATCTCCCAAATTAAGACTACCATGCTTAGTGCCAGTTGTGACATAAGAATGTCTTGAGAGCTCTGGAGGAACAATTACATCCCCTAATTTAGGGATAGGGGGCTCTGCAGAGGTTGCTGGACTCCAACATCATCAGTTCCATCCTGTATGTCAAATGGCAAGCGATAATGCTAGTAGCAGTATAATAATATATGAAATGGCCCAAATTCTGCATTTCTTGCCTTGGTTAGGCACTAGGAAGGATGCTAAGAAGGAAGAAGAGGAGAATTATACTTCCCATTCCTTATCCTATTTATCCACCAGCTCATTTTAACATCCTTGACTTCTACCAACACAATTTGTATCACAATAGTTTGAAGCAAAATAGTTTATTTATTTAAAAAAAATTATAGAATTTTTCCAGGATTTCTCTGAGTTGATTTCAGACACACTTTCTAGAACATTATTTGGGACAGAAGAATGCCAGTTTCTTTTCAGGTGCTACATGATAGCCAGTATCCTGCTGTGTTCTGCAATCACTGAAGGCCAATTGCATAAATATTTCTCCTGCTTTAGCAATCAGCTCTTTGCATGTCCAGTCTTGTGAAATTGGGTGGCACAACCAACTGCATGATTGGCTGCATTATACAGAGACTGCCACAGCAGGATAATGCTTATGTGATATCCTTTGTGTTCCAAACAGAATACTGGCTGAGCTGCTTTTATTTTCCCATTTAACATCTGAGTCAGTTTTAAAAAATGCACAGACCTACTCAGTGACCCAGATCTTCTCGCTGCCCAGATCTTCTTGCTGGTGCAATAAAAATGGCATAACTTTTGGAAGTAAATAACCTTAAGTTAAGAAAGCACTACAGACATTAGCTGCTGCATACTGAGTTATGTAACTACAATGATTTCTTAACTTGAGGTAACTTGCCTCCAAAAGTTACACCATTTACATAATTATGCAAGAGGACTTTGGCCGATGAAACATTTGGGTGTAGAAAATTCTCCAAAAGCAGACAATTTTCAGGTACAGCAAAATCTTTTTTGTTTTAGAGTACATTAGATTTATCTATCATAGACCTTAGTCCACATGATGATCTTCATCAGCATTTGTTAGACTGTAGTCTAGTCAATGCAGATCAGCAGAGACAGAGTGCTACTCAGAAATAATTATAGGACAGTATCTTGTTATAGGACATGATCCAGAAGAAAAAGTGATTGAACACTGCTTCAACATATCCATTATCTATAGGCTCTCCTGGTCATTGATACTTTCCTTTCCCAGGCTTCAAGTAGCTGCTTTGTCCACTTAAGACACATATCTGACATCAGAAACTGCAATGTTAGAAAGCACAAACAATTCAGCTTCTTTATTACTTTATTAGTGACCTTACAGTGGCAATTATTGAACAAAGGAGTTTTTAAAAGGGAAAGTATAAGGTGAAATTCTCAAATTGTACACTGCTTCTCCAAAATGAAATATTTTGTCAACAGGAATTAAAATCTAAATTATGGTGCAAATAGTAATGGCATTCTTCTTACCATCTTCTGCAGTATTCAGCTTCAGACTCTTGCCTTTGAAGCTCAGCTGCCCTCCGCCCACTTGGGTCTTAGCAAGCGACTCTGCCAACTTAGTAATGTCTTCTGATGCCATTTCTGGATTGGGCCAACCTTGTCTCAGCTGGGAAGGATGCTAAGAAGGAAGAGGAGGAGAATTGAGAAATTATGCACTTTTCGAGGTGGGGGTAACTCCTAGGAGTTCTGATGGATTAGCCTGCTCTGATCCTCTAGTGGCAAACTATAAAGTAAGGAAGCCAAAGATGATAATTGTGCTAAATTTGTTATTTTATAGGTTACTATCTCCATAGATCAACCACTTATTCATCTTACTATTTTAACCTTCACAGTGAAACCATTAAAGGTGGACAAGGAATTACTCTTTGGAATACAACTTACATCATCCCCAAACAGCATAGCTATATTGGCTTATGGTGACCAAAACACTGGTCTGAAGATCACCTTTTTTTAATCTCAAGGTTCACCCCTTTCTCCTCCCTCTTATACAAATACAACAGAATATTAATGTTCAACTACCTCACGTAACAGCATGCTGTGAGAAGAGAACAGGAGGCCTGGGACCAGGATAATACCAACATGAAAGCACCACATGAATGTTGCAGCATCTACCCAGATCTATCAAACCTAGCAGGCTATGTCACATGTTGCAGGGGAAAATAAAAGAACAAAAAATTACCCAAGCCACCACATGCTTGTTTCGAGAGCCAGGGATTAGAGAACAGCCATTGAAAAGAGATTTAAAAAGCATAGTTTACTAGTACATACTACAATGCTACTGCTAAGCTTCACGTAAATAATGCAGCTTGGCCAAATGCACTACCCTGCAGAGTCTAGGAAACAACATCCATAATTTTAAAAAGTCAAATTTATATTCAGTCCAGAAACATAGATTTCTCACAGTCAGACACTAAGCCACTTTTAAAAATTGTGGGAATGTGTGGTTGTTATAGCACTGCACATTGCCTGCTCAACTCTGTGAAGAGGTTTGAACACAGGTGGCACCGTCTAGACATACATATAAGGCAACAGTAGACCAACTTTACTTTCTAATCAGTAGCCCATTTGAAGATTAAATTACATTAAAATTAAAGGACTAGTTTTGCTCTAATGTCAGGAGAAGACTATGAAAGGAAAAGGAAGGATAAGAATGATAGAAGGGCTGCAGTGAGCAACCCTGAGTGCTCACTGGAAGGACAGATCCTGAAACTGAGGCTCCAATACTTTGGCCATCTCATGAGAAGAGAAGACTCCATGGAAAAGACCCTGATGTTGGGAAAGTGTGAGGGCAAGAGGAGAAGCGGACGACAGAGGATGAGATGGTTGGACAGTGTCATCGAAGCGACCAACATGAATTTGGCGCAGCTCCGGGAGGCAGTAGAAGACAGGAGGGCCTGGCGTGCTCTGATCCATGGGGTCACGAAGAGTCGGACACGACTAAACGACTAAACAACAACAGGGCTACAATTACATATTCGGTAAAAACTGGGTGGAATAAGACGCAACTTTCTTCACTTCACATGATATAAGCCACAGTGGTGCCCAACATGCACTGTTTTAAACCACAATAGGACTTCCTCTGCAGTGAGCTGGGTGAGAAATCCCTTCCTCATCCATGAGGCTTGCTTGTCCAGCAGGTGGCCAGGTAACCAGGAAGCATACTGGCAGTGGTAGCATCTTTGATGGCCAGGAAGACCTCCCCCCCCCCGCTTCTAGTCCCAAAACACTCGATAACTGCTACCATCCAGCTACCTGTTGAACAAACAAGCCCTGCAGAGGATCAAGGCCAGAAAGTCCTTGCCTGCTCAACATGTAGTGAAAGCAAAGCTGTTGGAGGTGGCCCCTGGGCAAGAACAACGTTGCCAGTGCTGGGAGGCTTCCCAACTATCGCAACAGTGGCTGACCAGCATTACTCTTGCCCAGGGTAGGAGGCAGCTCCAGCCACTTCATTTTTATGCTGCATGTCAAGCAGGCTGAAGCTTTCTAGCACTGGTAGGCTGGCAGCTGGAACTACATGACCTGCTTCAAAATGAGGAGGAATCACATTAAAATAAGACATGTGTTTCAAGTGGTCTCAGTCCTGTTGGTAGATAACCCACACTAAAAAACTTACTGACAAATGCATATTTCCTACCAAGGTGACAACAGAAGACAAGCGAAGCACAGGTTATGTAGCACTTCCATTGGATAGGGGATTAGACTTTAGCATCTAGAATCTCTTCTAGCAAATGCAGACTATATCTTGCTAATCAGTACGACTTATACAGGTTTTAGAATTCATCTCTCTGTCAAATAGCCAGTTCTAAAGTGTTTCGTTTTCATCTCTTGAAAATACTGAGCTCTACAGAACACCTTTTAAAATGTAAATAACTGGGATTGATTGCAACATGATTCTTGGATGATTGTTTAAAGCATACAATCTTCCATTATGTACTAAACAGAACAATCATCATTCTAGTATGCAATAAATAATACCCCACCAAGCCAAATTATTCACCTAGTCTAAGAGTCCGCCTAAAGCTGACAGTAAAAGACATTTTCTCCCTAATTATTTAAATATTCTACTTACATAATAAGAAATGCACCTTGTTTCTTATTTTATGCCTGCAGCAGAATGCAAGTCTAAATCTTGACACATTTAAAAAGAAATAACACCTTCAAACTATTTTTAGAATGGAGGTATCGCATTCCCCTACAGCCCTAATTATACCTTCTGGCATTAATATTCTGTTAACTATACAGTATTTCAAACCATCTGGTTTCAACCTTAAATCATATTTAATCTGTTGCTAAAACAAACACTTTCCCCTTCTCAATAAATATTAAATCTTTGGGTTCAGAGGCAGACAATGCTGGACAGGAGATTTTCCAAATTGTGGCTCAATTTGTTCTGCTGGCTGTTGGGGAAAAAAAAGAAAGAGAAAGCTAGTGGTTGGTCAGTGTGTGGAACAAGATGTTGATTAGATGGGCCTTCAATCTAATTCCACAATCTGTACCTTATGTTCTGAAACAACACAAGCAACTACTGTACTGTACATTTAAAGTCTAAAACAACCAACCTACGGAATCTGTCTTACTGCAAAAATATAAAAGTTATATAAAAGTTGTTTTATATAAAGTGACCAGGGGAAATAACTGACTTGGCCTTTGGGCATGAAGTGTACAGTATTCAAAAGCCTTCTTCAACAGGAGAGAGTATTGGGGGAAGCACATGAATCTGTCAGGCCATGTGCTGTTTGTACTGTACTTGCAAACACAATGCTCAAGGCAAGACGTGCACCTAAAATCAATGATAATCCTCTCACCTAATCCTCTCAACCTACCCCTCCACACGTCCTGCATCTTACAAGAGCAAACTAAAATTATTGCAGACTCCTACATGGGCGCATATCAGAATATAGGCAAATGCACATGCCTCTTGATCAGATTGGAACTTCAACTGCTGAAGATCAGCAGAGGTTTTTGGTTTCAATGTCAATGCAACATGCAATGGTGTTAATTAAATTAGCTAGAATTATGGAACTCTACTAGATAAGAACAGATTTACTGGATTTATAATTATTTTGCATGAATATCAACTCAGAAGTAAGCCCATTGATTTCAATGGGACTTACTCCAAGATAAGCATATACAGGATTGCAACTTGAATCACAGGTCTAATAGTGCATGTTATTATTACAAATTATAATAAATATATATTCTGACACTACAGCTTCTTCACTGTTACAGCAGTACACCAACAGAACTAATTACCTGGGGAGATGGTGTGTGCTCTAACTCTAGAGGCATTCAAAAGGAAATAGACAACCATCTGTCAGATATACTTTAATCTGGATTCCTGAATTGAGCACGGGGGTGAACTTGATGGCCTTTTAGACCCCTTCCAATTCCATTAGCCTATGATTCTATGGTTCTAAATACAGTACAGTGGTGCCCCACATAGCGATGATAATCCGTTCCGAAAAAATCGTCGCTATACGGATTTGTCGCTATGCGGGGCAAAAAAGCCCATAGGAATGCATTAAAACACGTTTAATGCGTTCCTATGGGGAAAAAGGGGGCGTGGTGGCGTTGTGGGCTAAACCGCAGAAGCCTGTGTTGCAGGGTCAGAAGACCAGCAGTTGTAAGATCGAATCCATGCAACGGAGTGAGCGCCCATCGCTTCTCCCAGCTCCCGCCAACCTAGCGGTTCGAAAGCATGCAAATGCAAGTAGATAAATAGGCACCACCTCGGTGGGAAGGTAACAGCGTTCCGTGTCTAGTCGCACTGGCCATGTGACCATGGAAGATTGTCTTCAGACAAAACGCTGGCTCTATGGCTTGGAAACAGGGATGAGCACCGCCCCCTAGAGTCGAACACGACTGGACAAAAATTGTCAAGGGGAACCTTTACCTTTTTTATGGGGAAAAAACTCATGCGAAAATCCTCAATGCGACCACCATTTTCGCTGCCCGGTAAGCGAGGAAAGGGCGCGAAAACACTGCGGGCAGCCATTTTATTTACCCGGCAGCCATTTTGGAACCACCGATCAGCTGTTCTAAAAAGATTGCTATGCGGTAATCGGTAAGCGAAACAGCTTACCGATCATCACAAAGCGATTTTTTACTATTTAAAACATTGTTTTGCGATTGCAAAAAACACATCACTATGCGGATTCAGCGTTAAACAAATCGCTCGTTATGCGGGACACCACTGTATATGGTAATGATCTGCACAAGCCTCTTATTTGCATTAGTATAGATAGCGTCAGATCAGAGCTTTCATTATTACAGAGACACTGTAAAAATGCAACCAGCCAGTCAGCACTGATAAAACAAAAGGCATGAAGAACAATTTGTGCATCAGAGTTTGAACTACAACTCCCCCAATCCTCAAACACTGACCAATTTAGCTGGGGCTTCTTGGAAATTTGACATCTACAGTACCTGGAGCACCAAACATTACTTCCTTATCCCTACAGTAACTTCAGGACAGCTTTCAGATTATTTTGTTTCCAGGTGCAAGTCCCAAAAGATGATGCTGTGGAACTACGGTTTCAGCCCATGGATATCAATCAGGCTTTAGTGCCCTACTGCAGTGGTACCCAGCCTTGGGCCTCCAGATGTTTTTGGATTTCA